ATATATATATATGTATATACATACAAATGGTTCACTAGTTTTGCTTCTCTAGAGAACCTAACCTAAGACAATCCCTAATGTGGAATGATTAGATTGAATCCAGTTTTTGCTATTACAAGTAATGCTGCAAAGAATATCTTCAAACATATTATCTTTTCTTTACTTTAGAATTTATTACACCAAGGATTTCATTTTACTTGGATCCACAATCAACACCCATGGAAGTAGCAGTCAAGAAATCAAACAACACTTTGCATTTGGCAAATCTGCTGCAAAAGACGTCTTTAAAGTGTTAAAACGCAAAGATGTCACTTTAAGGACTAACGTGTGCCTGACCCAAGCCATGGTATTTTCAATCACCTCATATGCATGCGAAAGCTGTGCAATAAATAAGACCAAAGAAGAAATGACACCTTTGAATTATGATGTTGGCAAAGAATATTGAATATATTATTGCCATGGGTTGAACTGTGTCCCCCAAAAATATCTGTCAACTTGGCTGGGTCATGATTCCCAGTAATGTATAACTGTACCATTTTGTAATCTGATGTGATTTCCTTATGCGTTGGAAACTCAATCACTATGATCTAATAAAATGGATTAGTTGCAGTTATACTGATGAGGTTTACAAGATTGGATAGTGTCTTAAGCCAATCTCTTTTGAGATATAAAAGAGAGAAGCCAGCAGAGACACATGGGAACCTCCTACCACCAAGAAAGCAGTGCTGGGGAGCAGAGCACCTCCTTTGGACCTGAGGTTCCTGCACAGAGATGCTCCCAGGCCCAGGGAAGACTGATGCATCATGGGGACCTTCCTCCAGAGCAGACAGAGAGAGAAAGCCTTCCCCTGGAGCTGATGCTCTGAATTGGGACTTGTAGCCTACTGGACTGTGAGAGAATAAACTTCTCTTTGTTAAAGCCATCCACTTGTGGTATTTCTGTTAGAGCAGTACTAGATGACTAAGACAACTGTGGACTGCCAAAAGAAGTATAGCCAGAATGCTCCTTTGAAGCAAGAATAACTAGACTTCATCTCATATACTTTGGACATGTTATCAGGATGGATCAGTCCCTGGAGAAGGCCATCATACTTGGTAAAGTAGAGGGTGAGCAAAAAAGAAGAAGACCCTCAACAAGATGGATTGACACAGTGGCTGTAACAATGGGTTCAAGCATAAAAACGATTGTGAGGATGGCACAGGACGGGGCACGGTTTCGTTCTGTTGTACATAGGGTCGCTATGAGTCAGAAATGACTCAACGGCCCCTAACAACAACAACAAAGTAAGGTCCTACAAATGGGATGAAATGAAATGATTATTGGTGTGGCTTTTCTTACATGTTACCTATATCATATGTCTTCTAAAAGCATTGTACAGATGATATACCATAAACGAATATGCCAATTTTAATGTATTATCTTCAGCAGTGGCTTAAAAAAGGAAATCTGAAAGATATTTATGAATGAATTTATAAAAATTTATTAAAAGACATTTTTTAAATACCTAAGTAAACAGGCATGTCATATTTCTTAATGAGAAGATTTACTATTATAAATATGTCCAAACCAAAAAAAAACAAAAAAACCCATTGCTGTCAACTCAATTTCAACTCATAGCGACCCTATAGGACAGAGGAGAACTGCCCCATAGGGTTTCCAAGGAGTGGCTGTTGGATTCAAACTGCCTACCTTTTGGTTAGCAGTCTGAGCTCTCAACCACTGCATCACCGGGGCTGCATAAATATGTCCACTCTCTCCAAATTAATTTATAAATTTGGTACAATCCCAATCAAAACTCCAACAGGAGTTTTTTTTTTTTAAAAAAAAAAACCTTAACAAGGTATTTATAATAGCCAAAAATCAATGAAGAGTTAAAAAAAACTAGCCCATGTTTGTATGTTATATTTTATGATAAAAATGATATTTCAAAGCATTCTATTCAAGAGATAGTGTTAGAAAAATTAGCCCCCTACTTGGGAAACAAAAATAAAGTTAAACCTCTATACCTCACATCCTACACAAAAATATCTTCCAAATAGATGAAAAAGCTAAATACATAAAACAAAATCACAAAAGAATAAGAAAAAAATACGTAAAAATCTTAGTGTAAAGTTTTAACTCCAGCTTTATTTTCTTCGTGACGTTTGCCAGTGGTCCCAACACCATTTACTAAATAAGTCAATCTCTTCCCCACTAATTCAAGATGCTACCTTTATTATATACCAAGTTCTCTATATACTTGAGTCTATTTTTGTACTTTAAATTCTGTTCTATTGGCCTTTCTATTCATAAACCGGTACCGTATTTTGCATGAATAAATATGCCTTTATGTGTTAGTTTTAAATTATGTCCACAAATTCTTTGACACTTTTTCCTTCAAATGATGGAGCCTAATTCCCCTCCCCCAAACGTGGACCAGATTTCTAGCAAATAGAATGTGGTAGAAGTTATGTGACTTCCAAAGGTAGATCACCAAAAGGATAGCTTCCACTTAATTCACTACTGGATTACTTGCTCTGGGGGAAACCAGCTGCCATGTTATGAGGACACTCAAGCAGCACTGTGGAGAGGCCCCCATGGAGAGAAACTGGGGCCTCCTACCAACAGCCAGCAGCAACTTGCCAGCCATCTGAGTGAACCACCCTGGAAGTGGATACTACTAAGAGACCCCAAGCCAGAGATGCCTCTCCTGAAATCTTGACCCACCAAAATTATGAAAGGTAATGTTTGTTGTTGTTTTAAGCCACAAAGACTTGGAGTAAGTGATTATGCAGCAAAAGATAACTAATATGTTTAAAGCTTTGTAATATCTGATAAAACTATCTTCTTTTCCTATTGTTTTTCTTTTTCAGAGTTTTCCTTACTATTCTCATTTATTTTTTACATAACCTTTAGTATCAGTTACACAGAGAGAGAGAATTACATAATTATAAATTTATTTGAATTGCAAATTAATTTGAGGAAAACCAACATCTTTGTGTTGAGTCTTCCTCTCCAAGAAAATGAGGTATCTTTCCATTTGTCCACGTCTTCTTTTGTACCCTTCAGTAGTATTTTAAAGTTCATTCATATACTTTCTACATTTATTATTTAGTTTTGAATATTTTTTTCCTATTTTAAATGGTATTTTTATCCATTTTACACAAAAATGATTGTGGGTCATATGTAAATAATACCCACTGATGATTTTGGCTTACTAAGTTTTCTATTCCTTTGCCTTACCAAATTGTCTCATTTTTGTAGTAGTTTCTCAGTTGAGTCCCAGGTTTTCCATACATGCAGTTATATCGTCTGTAAATCATAATAATTATTATACTCAAATTTTTATCTTTTGTCTAATGTATTTTCCCAGAATATAAATTCCATAAATTCAGAGATTTTTGTTACTTTGTTAACTGCTTTGTCTCCAGTACTTAAAATAGTGGCTTGGCACAAAGTAGATACTCATTAAATATTTGAAGTAATTAATTGCATCAACTAAAAGCTCCAGTACAATGTTTAATAACAGTACTTGATGGTGGGCACCCTTGTTTTATTCCTGAGTTGAGTAAGGATGCCTTTAGTATTTTTCCATTAAGTCTGATGCTGGCTTTTCAGATAACTCAGATGTACTATTATCTATCCCTACTATATTAAGCGTTTTCAACTGAAATGATTGTATGTTAGCAAACGCATCCTTGTTATAAAAATGGGTAAAATTATTTTTAAAAAACTTTCCACATGTAAAGAGATTTAAATATTTTAATTCAACAAGTAAAATACAGAAAATAATAGCTATAAAACCATGGAAACCATAATTCAAACAATAACAGAGGAAAATGCTTTAACTTTTGTTATTTAAACTTCCTTCATCAGTATTTAAATTTCATTCATTACATTAGTATAATACCTCATCTCAGCATCTACAATTTTAACAAATGCTTGGAAAGTTTTTTGTTCAGAAACAGATGCTGGTCTGACAGAAACACATTTGAAAACGTTCTTTTTCTGGTCATAGTTTCCCACACACCTATGAACTCGGCCTCTAATCAGTCTTGGAAGTTCACGATCCTGTTTATTAAAAAAAAAACACCAAAAAGTTATTTATTACTTCATCTGCATTTCAATTTTTTTAATTAATATGATCAATAAGATGTGAATCATCCTAAAATGCTGTAATTCCCTCATTTGAGTCAGAGTCCCACTGCTAACACAACCAGGATAGATAGGCATATATGGGTATCCTGTCGGTGAAAAAACCCTCATTTGATTTGGGCTCCTTACAAACTAGTTAGCTGTTACTTCTTAAAAGATTGAATAATCCCCAATGTAATGTCACATGAATTAGCTATTTTTTAACAGACTGCAAGCATTCCAGTAGATGGCAGACTAGGTGGTTCAGACAAACTTTCCAGCTGAGAGCTAGAATAGCTGGATGAAATATTTTGTTTAAAAAAATCTCCATGTAGGCATCAGATACGAAAGCAGTGAGGAACCACAAAGCCCCCATTTGGGAAAGGATGGAAGTCCAGAATGGGACCTAATATTTGGGCTAAGCAGAGCTTTTAAAGCTGACCTTCGAAAGCTGAGCCTTTGACAAACTCCTGAGGCTGGAAGAACAAAAAATGGAGTCCAAAAGCCCCAAGGAAAAGAGATTCTGGTAACCCGCTCCCCACACCCCTGTCAAGTTTAGGGTTGGGATCCAAAAGGGCTATTCCTTATAGAGAATGGTAAACCAGAAAAAGACCAGCCCAGCTCCAAATCCTCTCAATCTTGGATAAAATTAGAGCATTCTAGGATTGCTTCCATTAAAAGATCACAAAAAGCACAAACTATAAAGGAAGAGATTATATTAAAATGGAGAACTTCTGTATATCAAAAGACTCCATTACTTAACAATAAAAAGACAAATAACCCAATCAAAAAATGGGCAAAGGACTTGAACAGACATTTCCACCAAAGAGGAAATTCAAACGGCCAACAAGCACACCAAAAGATGCTTGACCTCATTAGTCGTTAGGTAGCTACAATTCAAAACTACAATGAGATACCACCTGACTTACTTATCTAGTGCTGCTATAACATAAATACCACAAATGGATGGCTTTAACAGAAATTTATTCTATCAGTTTAGGAGGCTAGAAGTCCAAATTCAGGGCACCAGCTCTGGCGAAGGATTTCTCTCTGTCAGCACTGGGGGAAGGTCCTTGTCATCAATCTTCAGCTGGTCAAGGAGCTTCCCAGTACAGGGACTCCAAGTCCAAAGGACACAGTCTGCTCCTGGCACTTTCTGCTTGGTGGTAATGAGGTCCCTCTCTCTCTCTGCTCATGTCTCTCTTTTAGATCTCAAAAGAGATTGACTCAATACAATCTAATCCTGTAGATTTTGTTTGCCTCATTAACATAACTGCCTCTAGTCCTGCCTCATTAACATCATAGAGGTTAGGGTTTATAACACAAAGGAAAATTACATCAGATCACAAAATGGAAGACAACCACACAATAGTGGGAATCGTGGTTTAGCCAATTTGACACACATTTTGGGAGGACACGATTCAATCCATAACATTCCACCCTTTGGCCCCCAAAAATTCATGTCATTGCCACATGTAAAACACATTCACCCCATCATATCATAGCAAAAGTCTTAAATCAACTCCAACTCCAAAATCTCCTGGGGCAAAATTCCTCTTCATCTGTGAAATCAAGAATACAAGTTATCTGTTTCCAAAGTACAATGGTAGAACAGGCACAAGGTAGACATTTCCATTATAAATGGGAGAAATTGAAGGGAAAAAGGAGATAATTGGCACCAAGCAAGTCCAGAGCCCAGCAGAACACATTACATTAGCTCTCAAGGCTTGAAAATAATCCTCTGTTCTCTGAGACCATTTAGGCAATGGATCTGCCCTCCAGACTCTAGGTGTTGGCCACACTCTCCAAATTATGGGTGAAGGCCCCTTGGTCCTAGGCTGCAGCCTCTGCCCTGCTCAGGCAAGTATTATAAAGCTCTTCAGCTCTACCAATAATTGCCTGGTGGCACCCCACTCTACCAGTAAGCCTAGGCCAGCTCTCTCGCTGTGTGGTTCGGCAAGCCTTGCTCCATAGATAAGTGCCCAGAGGCACTCCACTCTGTTAGGAAGTCTCCTGCCTGAAGGCTCTCAGCTCTTTTGCTCCATAGATTGGCTCCTGTGCCATCTCATACCAGTCTCCTGGTTTTGTTGCTGCCATTTCTCTGCCGCTGCTTCTCGCCATCTGTGCCATCTCCAGTGTTACAGCTCTCCTCACTCCCTTCTGAGTCCTCACCAGAATTGCCTTTGACATCCATAACTCAACCAAGTCTCTTCAAAGCAGTCTAGGCTTTCACTATTAGGTACCTTAAAACTCTTCCTACCTCTATCCATTTACAGTTTCAAAACTGCTTCCACATTTTAGATATCTGTTAGAGCAGCATCCCACTCCCTGTACCAAATTCTGTCTTAGGCTATCTAGTGCTGCTATAACAGAAATACCACAAGTAGATGGCTTTAACAAACAGAAGTTTATTCTCTCACAGTTTAGGAGGTTAGAAGTCCAAATTAAAGACACTGGTTCTAGGGGAAGGCTTTCTCTCTCTGTTGGCTCTGGAAGAAGGTCCTTGTCATCAATCTTCCCCCTGGTCTAGGAGCTTCTCAGTGCAGGGACCCCGGGTCCAAAGAATGAGCTCTGCTCTGGGCTCTTCTTTCTTGGTGGTAATGAGGTCCCTCTCCTCTCTGCTCACTTCTCTCTTTCAGATCTCAAGAGATTGACTCAAGATACAACCTAATCCTGTAGATTGAGTCCTGCCTCATTAACATAACTTCCTCTAATCTCGACTAACTAACATCATAGAGGTTAAAGTTTACAACATATAGGAAAATTACATCAGATCACAAATGAAGGACAACCACATAACACTGGGAATCATGGCCTTTTGGGGGACACAATTCAATCCATAACACCACCCTACCCCCATTAGAATGGCAATGATCAAAACAATGGCAAAAATAGGTATTGGTGAGGCTGTAGAGAAACTGGAACACTTATCCATTACCAGTGGGAATGCAAAATGGTTCAACCACTGTGGAAAACAGTTTGGCAGTTCCTCAAAAAGTTGAACATAGAACTACCATATGATCCAGCAATCCCAATGCTAGAAGTGAAAGCAGGAACACAAACAGAAACCTGTACATCAATGTTCATTGCACTTTACACAATAGCCAAAATGTGGAAACAATTGAAATGTCTATCAGCAGATGAATGGTAAACAAATCGCGGTCTTACATACAATACAATACTACTGAGTCATAAAGAGAAATGAAGTCCTGATACATGCCACAACATAGATGAACCTTCAAAACATGCTAAGCAAAGTAAGTTAGTGACAAAAGGACAAATACTGTATAATCTCACTTATATGAAATCAACAAATACATGGACACCAAAGATTATTAGAGGTTATGAGGAGGAGAGGGGAAGGGGAGTCTTTGCTTAGAGGGCACTAGGTTTATGTTAACGGCGGTAGAATGATTAGGAAAAGGATAGTGATAATAGTTGCACAACACGAAGAATGTAATCAATGTCACTGAATTATACATGAAGAAATTGTTGAATTAGCAAATGTTTTCTTGTGTATATTTTCACCACAATAAAAATTTAAAAAAGAAAAGACACCATTAAGAGTGAAAATGCAAACTATGGACTATGAGAAAATAACATAATGAACAAGCTCATATCCAGAACAGCTTTTTTTTTTTTTTTTTAACTCATATAAATCCTTTTTTAAAGAAGAAAAACAACTCAATAGAAAAATGAACAAGAGGCTTGGACAGACTTTACAAAGAAGAGAACTAAATGGTTAATAAACATATGAAAAGGTGCTCAACCTCATTAGTCACCAGGGAAGTACAGAGAAGTGAGATACCACTAAACTTAACCACAAGAATGTGGTGGTAAAATAAAAAAGACTGACAAGAATGTGGAGAAACTACAACTCTCTTACAATGTTTGCGATTGTGTAAACTGGTACAATCCTTTGGAAAATTCTTTGGCAATGACTACTATATTAGAACATATGCGTGCACTATGACCTGGCAATTTTACATCTAAGTGTATACCCAACAGAATTGCGTACATATGCACAAGAGGCATATACAAGAATTTCGATAGAGCATTATTCACAATAGCAAAAAACCTGAAAACAAGTCAAATATCCAACAACAGCAGAATGGATAACTAAATTGCAGTACATTCATACAATAGAATACTATACACAGCAATATAAACGAATGAACTATAGCTATGTAAAATGACATAGATGAATCTAACAAATATTGCGTTGAAAGAAACAAGACAAAAGAAAACTACCATATGATACTATTTATATAAAGCTCAAAAACAGACAAAACTAATTTAGATAATAGGTGGGAGAAAGGAGGCAGTGAAAGGGAAGGAGTGTAAGGAGATTTCGGGATTGGTGGCAACGTTCTATTTCTTAACCTGGGTAGTGCTCACTTTGTGATACTTCATAGAGCTGTATATTTATGATTTGCACATTTTTCTGTGTATATGTTAGATTTCAATAGAAAAGTTTTTTTTTAATCTATCACACCAGAGAAAAATAAGCATTCAAGATATTACAGAAATTAATAACATGACAATTACTATTTCTTGGTAACCTACTATGTGCCAGATATTGTACGTGCACGTTTTATCTTCGCAACAGCCCTATTTCCAAGTAAGAATTGGCTTCCCCATTTTACAGATAAAGAAACTGAAGCTCAGAAAGTTTAAGATCACAAAGCTAGTAAATGGTGTAATAAGAACTGGAATTCAAATCTTGACTATTAACGAAATTTCAGAATTAAGACTAAACTCTTCAACAAATTATGTCTTACGAAGTCTTTTTTTGTGATCTCCAGCCTCCTTTGTTACCAGCTCTGTTCCTTACATCTCAGCACTCTCTCTGTCTTCCCCCAACTCCAAAACCACTACATCACTCTACATAAGCTAGGTCGTCTCTTAGCTTTATGTCTTGGCATCTGACTCTTTCTCAGCTTAAAATGTACTCCTCCCCTCCCCACCTCTTCCCTTCCCCCAACACACTTTGGCTTAGTTAACTCTTATTAGTCCTAAAGATCTGAGAGAAGACAGGTTACTGCCTTCTTTGAAAATCTTTTCCTATCTCTGCCCCATCTCTCCTATCTATGTCTATGCACTTTGCACATACTTTCATCATACCATTTATCATACTATATCGTAAGGTTTATTTATGTCTTTCTACCTGAGATTATACACTCTTTGAAAGAAAGAACCACCTACAATTTGGAATCCCTTGTACCCAGCACAGTGCCTGACACATGGTAGGCTCTCAACTCTAGTTGAACAAATAAAAAAAATTAATCAAAAATAAAACCAAACAAAATGTTGAAAGTACTACTAAACTGTTAACAGAATTTCTATTATAGTAGATTTATAGCCTGCTTATGTATGTTTTGTTGGTATAGGCCTTGCAAAGAATACGTAAACAAATACTTACTATTTCATAAAATACACAGGGCAAAGTATTTTTCCCATCTCTCATAAGAAAAGTCTTTGAAGAATATGGGCCAGGTGTAACAGCTGAATCAAGAACAGCTAAAAAACATTAAAATGGGGGGGAAAACAATACTTGTAAAATGCAAATAAAATCTAACAAAGAGAGGTTGATATTTAAAATAACTGTTCTCATGCCAACCTCTTCATATTTCTATGTATACAGTAGTAAAGAAGATACTTTATGAGGGAAAGATTTCTGAAACTGGAACTGTTTTATTGCTAAAGGAAACAAAGTTTCTGATCCAATTTAGGAACAGACTATATGCCAGAATTCATACAACTGACAGTAACTGGCCATCTGAAACTTTTTCCTTAGAATGTGTTATATTGAGTGGTTAAATCCCTAGGCAAGTCTACATAATAATAATAATAATAATAAATACAAACTTAAAACAAGTAAGTGTTATGGTTATCAGAAAAAAAAACATTAAATTAGAATCACAAGTCATGCATTGGGTACCAGATCTTCAACTTACTAATATTTCATAACTTTGAGAAAATTATTTAACCTCTTTCAAATCTATTTCTTCATCTATAAAATAGTAATTCATATTTATCTCAAGAAATTATTATCAAATGAGAGTATTTATTCAGTCATTGAAAAACCATTTACTGAGAACTGGCAGTAGACATTTGTTATTTTGAGGCCAGCCTTGATTCTCCCTTCTTTTGGTAATAATACCCAGATTTTCCTTTAGGAAACTTCTGCTATGCCATTCTTAACCATATGATTTGGATGGGATTTGTCCCCACCCCCAGATCCTTGGCTTAAGCCAATCATCATATACCATTCTCCAGCTATAGTTCAGGGTTTCAGTGATAGATATGTTACGTAGTCAGAAATGACGATATGCAAAGAGTCATTTGCTAGTGTCTGGAAAAAGAAACCAGAAGAAACTTATCTAGGAATGAGACAGTGTGGTTCAATGATGTGTGATTTAGAGAACTGTGGTAATTATCTTAATATCATAGGGGAGTGACAGAAGCTTCTGGGAGCCACATGTGTAGTTTTAGAATGAAGCCAACACTATGGCAGGACAGAAACAGAGAAAAGAGAGGAAACATTGTGTTACTCCTGAGTAGCTGGATCAAGCCTTGCCTGAAGTCAGTAACCTAGCAACCTTTCAGTTCTATGAATTACCCTGTTATTACTTAAGAAACTAAACTTAATTTTTTTTATCAGTTGCAACTGAAAGGGAAGTTCTATATGCCAGCACTGTTCTAGGCATTAAAGTTGAATAAAATTACGTCTCTGCCTTTGATGAATTTAGAGTCCAGTGTATGAACTCAAAGTTATTAAAGCACAATGAAAGCTAACCATCAGATATGCAAGCATAATCCTCTTCATCTCTTCATAGGAATGTCTATTGCTATTTATGTTGAGGATTGTGATATTTTAAAGAACATTCTCCTGGAATGAACTTGAATAGGTCATCAAAGAGAACCTGAGAAAATAGATGGAACTAGCATGTCCTTTTAACAGGCTCAGGGTATTTTTAAAACTTCTACTCTGCAAATTAAGTGAGATCCAGGGGCACCCTTCATACATGAAAAAGAAATTGAGAAGTCTAACAGGGTGTAAATCTTTAAAGCAAAGTGTTCTCACTCTGACAGTATTCTCCTAGCTCTGACAGAAAACTGGCATGAAATAGAAAAACATCTGCTATTGAGGCTACATGACTATTGGTAGGAGCCGAATAAAATAACAGAGGCAGATCAAGCTTCAAGAAGAGTAGAAATAGCCATATAAACCAACTAAGAAATATGCTTCAGGTAGTATTGTTTGTAAAACAAAAAACTGGAAACAATTTAAATATTAATAATAAGAATATGAACATATAAATTGTGGCATACTCCTAAAGTGAAATAGTATACATGCATGAAAATTAATTAACTAGGTCTGCATGAATCACCATGGCTACATCTCAAAAACACAATACTGGGTGAAAACACAAGCTATACGTTTTTAAAACACATAAAACAATACTATGCATATTTACTGAATTAGATATATATAGTAAAATTATAAAAGCATGGACAGGAAAGATACCACAGTGGTTATCACTAGAGAGGAAGAGAAAAAAATGGATGAAGGCTTCAAATATACTTATAACACAAGTATGTGAATATTTCTGATATTTTCTATATATTTAAAATATTTATTTTATTTAAACTATGGAAGAAATATATTTTGAATCTCTACTTCTTATTTGTTTATCTCTTTACTCTAGATAAAATCAAATCCCAGGAGCATTCTACAAAACTCTCTCCTTTTAAATATTAAATTAGAAAAATAGGTAAATTGTAGGGTGTTTACTCATGTCACTAAAGGATTATTTACAAATGTTCTTTCAGAGTATTTAAAATGTGTTTTCATTTATATCCAAAATTACTACTGGATTTAGTGTAATACAGTAGAAAGAATACTAGATTGAGGATTAGGAGACTTGGATTCTAGATCCATTTATGCTGCTAACTAGCTCTGTGATTTTAGTTCAGTCTGTTTTAATTAATTGCCCCATTTCCTCACTTACTTGAAGGGGTTGGGTTAGATTACTTGCAAGATTCTTTCTACTTTTAACATTATGAATCATTACAATGTTAATATAAAACAACAAAAACAAATACGTCTTAATTCACAAAAAAACAGACAAGGAACTAAAAAAAATCTTAATAAACTATAACTCCTTTTGCAAAATTTTATTTTTCTTTAAGATTCCTTAAGTATACCAATCAGGAGCCCTGGTGGTATAGTGGTTAAGCACTCAGCTGCTAACTGAAACGTCAGCAGTTGGAACCTACTAGCCGCTCCACAGGAGGAAGATGTGGCGGTCTGCTTCTATAAAGATTTACAGCCTTGGAAATCCTATGGGTCACTATGAGTCAAAATTGACTCAATGGCAATGAGTGGGAAGTATAGCTATTGACATTCAAGTAGCATTAGTAGCATTACTAAAGTATTTTTGAAGTCTTATACTTACCCAATATTTCAAAAAGAAGTACAGCTTTCTGTGCATGTTCACGCCAGTACTTCATGCTTTCAATAACCACAGATAAAATTCTTAATGAGTTATCTTTTTCTTTAAATTTTAACTGATACAATGAGGATCCCTTATGGAAAAAAAAATAGCATTTATTTAAATTTTTCATCATACTCTTTCACCTTCTATATAGAAATTCTAGGTTCTTAACTAGATAGCAGACAAGAATTATCTTAGGTGAGGGGAAGGACAACAAACAATACAGGGAAGTCAGCACAACTGCACTAAACCAAAAGCTAAGAAGTTTCCTAAATACAACCAAACACTTCAAGGGGTCTGGGGACCATGGTTTCAGGGGACATCTAGGTCAATTGGTATAACAAAGTTTATTAAGAAAATGTTCTGCATCTCGGTTTGGTGAGTGGCGTCTGGGGTCTTAAAAGCTAGCAAGCGGCCATCTAAGATGCATCAATTGGTCCCAACCCACCAGAAGCAAAAGAGAATGACGACCATCAAAGACACAAGGAAAATATGAGCCCAAGAGACAGAAAGGGCCACATAAACCAGAGACTGCATCAGCCTGAGACCAGGAGAACCAGATGGTACCTGGCTACCACCAATGACCACCCCAACAGGAAACACAACAGAGAGTCCTTGATGAAGTAGGAGAAAAGTGGGGGGCAGAACTCAAATTCTTGTAAAAAGAACAGACTTAATGGTCTGACTGAGACTAGAACCCCAGAAGACATGGCCCCCAGACTCTCTGTTAACCCAGAACTAAAATCATTCCCGAAGCCAACTCTTCAGACAAAGATTAGACTAGACTATAAGACATAAAATGATACTTGTAAAGAGTGTGCTTCTTAGCTCAAGTAGAAATATGAGACTAAATGGGCAGCTCCTGTCCAGAGGCGAGATGGGAAGGCAGAAAGGGATAGGAACTAGTTGAATGGACACAGGAAATCCAGGGTGGAAAGGGGGAATGTGTTGTCACATTATAGGGACAGCAACTAGGGTCACATAACAATGTGTGTATAAATTTTTGTATGAGAAACTAACTTGAGCTGTAAACTTTCACCTAAAGCACCATTTTAAAAAAAAAAAGAAAAAGAAAGAAAGAAATTCTAGGTTCTTGTACCCGGGGTAATGGGCAAATGTATAAAGAGACTTATGAAAATTTTTAGCAGTTACTTCCCTCAACTAAAGGCATCATTAGTACATTATAGGAGAAGAAACCAGATGCACTTGGGAGGCAATTAATCAAGAAAAGATTTACTTATACAGGCATTCATTCACTCATTCATTAAATATTTTTAAAGTATAACGGGCCAGATCCTGTGATAAACACAGAGTAAAACACAATTCCTTTCCCTAATGTCCTCACACTCTAAGGTAGCCAGACACATTTATTCACTCATTCCAAGATATTACAGAAATTAATATGACAACTACTATTTCATGATCACCTACATAGCTACTGAGGAAACAAGAGTGAACAAAACAGACAAGGTATCTGCCCTCATAGATTTTACAGTCTAATGGGGGATTCCAAAAATAAATAAATATATATATAATAGAATGTCAGGAACTGATACATTAAATGTGTAAAAATAAAACAAGGTAAAAGGGTAGAGAGAGACACTGGTTATTAATTTAAATGAGTTGTTGAGTGAGCACAAAGGGAACAATAAATGTAAAGCCCTAGATAGGAATGTCCTCCACATTTCTGAAGATCAATAAGGAATAACACATGTGTTAAAATACTAGCTTTAAAGGCACAGGGGCACCTCCTTTGTGGGGGTAGGGGACACAGCAAAGAACATCTGATGGAGCATTTTTTTAAACTATAAATACCTTCTTTCTTCCTCCTCCTCCTGCCCAAGACTCTAATATGCCTCCTATTGAGGATTATGGCCATAATGAGCCACTGTTGCTAAGTTCATATCATTCTTGTGTACAAAAAAGCATAAAGTTGAGAACCACTGTGAAATGTGCTGTATCAGTCAGATTTCCAGCAAGAATCAGAATATACCCCCAGATGGGTAGCTCTTGGCTACTCACCAAAAGGTTGGGGGTTCAAATCCACCCAGTAGCTCAGCAGGAGAAAGACCTGGCAATCTGCTCCTGTAAAGATTAAAGCCTAGAAAACCCTATGAGGAAGTTCTACTTTGTCACATGGGGTTTCTATGAGTCAAAAATCCACTCAACAGCACAACAACATCAAAAAGACTACTTACAGATATATGAGCAATTACAAGAACAAATATAGGGTTGTACAACACCCTATGTGCTTAAATAGCAACTGTAAGAAGTTGTTACCACTCCTAGGCTGAAAGAACAAGGAGGGGCTATAGTCATGCAGGGATACAGCTACTGCCAGAAACACAACATTTAAGCAGGGAGTGAGAAAACCCAACCTCTCCTCCCACCTTTTGATGTCCTGTCAGTGACTTCCATTGGCTGACCCCTACCAGAAGCCAGTAAGTAAGGGTTCCCAGGATGATGCAGTATGTAGGACGATTCAGCCTCCCAGAGGACAGAGAAGGGGAGAGGGTGAAGAATATATTGGGCCAGGGGGTGACGGAGACGAAATGGAGAATAACCATGACGCGTAATATATAAAAGACATTTGCAAAGAGTAATGAGAGCACTGTGCAAAGAGATGAAGGTAGGCTGGTATAGGGAAGAATATAAACTAGACACATATTAGAGTGCATGCCATTTTTAGAGAACTGTGAAGAGTACGAAATGGCTAGACCATTGGAGAAGTAGTAAAATATGGAATGTGAGGCTGTAAAGGTAGGATAGGATTAGATTATAAAGCAGAGGTTGGCAAACTACAGCCTGCAGGCCAAATTTAGCCTGCACTCTGTTTTGTAAACTTTTATGGAAACATAGCCAAGCCCACTCAGTTATGTATTGTCTATGGCTGTTTTGAGTTACAGCAGAGTTGAGTAGTAAACTGAGTTCCGTATTTTTACACAAATAATGCTCACATTTTATGTTTTGTAAAACCACGCGAACCCTTGCCCATTATATGAGTTGTTGTTGTTAGGTGTCATTGACCCAGTTCTGACTCATAGCGACCCTATGTACAACAGAACAAAACACTGGCCAGTCCTGCATCATCCTCACAGTCATTGTTACTTTTCAGCCCATTGTTGCAGGCACCCTGTCAGTCCATCTCTTTGAAGGTCTTCCTCTTTTTTGCTGACCCTCTACTTTACCAAGCATGGTGTCCTTCTCTAGGGACTGATCCCTTCAGATAACGTGTCCAGAGTATGTGAGACATAGTCTCGCCATCTTTGTTTCTAAGGAGCATTCTGGTTGTACTTCTTCCAAGACAGATTTGTTCATTCTTTTGGCAGTCCACGGTATATTCAATATTCTTCTTCAGCAGCATAATTCAAAGGCATCAATTCTTCTTCGGTCTTCCTTATTCACTGTCCAGCTTTCACATGCATATGAGGCGATTGAAAGCACCATGGTTTGTGTCAGGCATACCTTAGTCTTCAAGGTGACATCTTTGCTTCTCAACACTTTAAAGAGGTCTTTTGCAACAGATTTGCCCAATGCAATGCACCTTTTGATTTCTTGACTGCTGCTTCTATGGGTATTGATTGTGGATCCAAGTAAAACGAAATCCTTGACAACTTCAATCTTTTCTCCATTTATCATGATGTTGTTTATTGGTCCAGTTGTGAGGATTTTTGTTTTCTTTATGTTGAGGTGTAATCCATACTGAAGGCTATGGTCTTTGATCATCAGTAAGTGCTTCATGTCCTCTTCAGTTTCAGCAAACTAAGTTGTATCATCTGCAAAACACAGTTGTTACTGAGTCTTCCTCCAATCCTAATGCCCCGTTCTTCTTCATATGGTCCAGCTTCTCGGAATACTTGCTCAGCACACGGATTGAATAGGTATGGCAAAAGGATACAACCCTAACCCACACCTTTCCTGACTTTAAACCATGCAGTATCCCCTTGTTCTGTTCATACGACTGCCCCTTGATCTTTGTACAGGTTCCTCATAAGCACAATTAAGTGTTCTGGAATTCCCATTCTTCTCAAGGTTATCCATAATTTGTTATGATCCACTCAGTCGAATGCCTTTGCCTAGTCAATAAAACACAGGTAAACATCTTTCTGGTATTCTCTGTTTTCAGCCAGGATCCGTCTGACATCAGTAACGATATCCCTAGTTCCATGTACTCTTCTAAATCCAGCCTGAATCTCGGGCAGTTCTCTGTCGATGCACTGCTGCAACCACTTTTGAATAATCTTCAGCAAAATTTTACTTGTGTGTGATATTAATGATATTGTTTGATAATTTCCACGTTAGGTTGGATCACCTTTCTTGGGAATAGGCATAAATATGGATCTCTTCCATTCGGTTGGCCAGGTAGCTGTCTTCCAAATTTCTTGGCACAGATGAGTGAGCACTTCCAGCACTGCAACCATTTGTTGAAACATCTCAACTGGTATTCTGCCAATTCCTGGAGGCTTGTTTTTCACCAATGCCTTCAGTGCAGCTTGGACTTCTTCCTTCAGTTCCATCGGTTCCTGATTACATGCTACCTCCTGAAATGGTTGAACGTCGACCAATTCTTTTTGGTATAGTGACTCCATGTATTACTTCCATCTTCTTTTGATGCTTCCTGCATTGTTTAATATTTTCCCCGTAGAATTATTCAATATTGCAACTTGAAGCTTGAATTTTTTCTTCAGTTCTTCCAGCTTGAGAAATGCCAAGTGTGTTCTTCACTTTTGGTTTTCTATCTCCAGGTATTTGCACTTGTCGTTATAATACTTTACTTTGTCTTCTCGAGCTGCCTTTTGAAACCTATGTTTAGCTTTTTGACTTCATCATTTCTTCCTTTTGCTTTAGCTCCTCGATGTTCAAGAGCAAGTTTCAGAGTCTCTTCTGACATCCATTTTGGTGTTTTCTTTCTTTCCTGTCTTTTTAATGACCTCTTGCTTTCTTCATGTATGATGTCCTTGATGTCATTCCACAACTCGCCTAGTTTTCGATCATTAGTGTTCAACTCATAAAATCTATTCTTGAGATTGTCTCTAAATTCAGGTAGGATATACTTAAAGTCGTACTTTGGCTCTCGTGGACTTGTTCTAATTCTCTTCAGTTTCAGCTTAAACTTGCATATGAGTAATTGATGGTTTGTTCTGCAGTCGGCCCCTGGCCTCGTTCCGACTGATGATATTGAGCTTTTCCATTGTCTCTTTCCACAGATGTAGGCAATTTGATGCCTGTGTATTCCATCTGGTGAGATCTACATGTATAGTCACCATATATGTTGTTGAAAAAATGTATTTGCATGAAGAAGTCATTAGTCTTGTAAAATTCTATCATGCGATCTCCAGCATCATTTCTATCACCAACACCGTATTTTCCAACTACAGTTCCTTCTTCTTTGTTTCTAACTTTTGGATTCCAGTCACCAGTAATTATTAATGCATCCTGATTGCATGTTAAGTTGCAACAGAGAGCATGTGGCCCACAAAGTCAGAAAGATTTACTATGTGGCCCTCTGCAGAAAGTTTGTTGACTCCTGTTGTAAAAAATTTGGATTGCCATATGAAGAATTTGAATATTTTCTGCAGGCAATGGGTAAACTGTCATCATCTCAATAATTAGTAAACAGTGAAAGTTGGAACCCAGTAGGAAACTCTAAAGCAACTATAAAAGGAAGCAGTAGTTCACACACTCTAAGAAAATAGTTTGGAAAGGAAAATTCTTACACTCCAATGGAACTGGATATTTGTGCTAATCAAGTCATTCATGCCACGGGATTGATTTCAAATGTTCTTATCTAACTTTCTAAATATTTCCTTACCTCACATTTTTAAAAATGTAAATAAGATATTAGCTTATTTTTTAAAATTTACCTTGAGAGTGTTTTCTTCTGGAATATCATCCAACATTTTTTTCTTAAATTGATTTTGTTGAAAATTGGGCTTAAATCCCTGTAATGTATTGTTTTTGTCTATAGCTCTCACTGTGGAGCCAGATACATTTGTTTTTTGAAGTACTTCAGTTTCTCTTTCGTGAGATAACTTAGGATGTTCAGATAGTCTTAATTGTTTCTGCTGAGCTCCCAAGCTCATTGGACAAGAATTTATTCCATCATTTGCCACCACGTTTGTTCTTTTGCAATGAGGCCTAAAATCATTTCTGTCCCAACTTTTCAAGCTGGTATTTTTGTTGCCATCTCTGTAGCTATAATAGTTAAAAAAAAAAAAAAAAAAAGAGAGAGAGAGAAAGAAAGAAGAGAAAAAAATTAATATTTGTTTCTATATGCTTTTTCTTAATTAAAAAAATAATGAAAATTTACATTTATATGACAATTTATTGTTTATAAACTATTTTGTAACTATTAACTAGTCAGAAATTCCAGACACCTCATCACAACAACCCTACAATATATTATCATCTCTCTTTCCAGATGAGGAAATTGAGACTTAGAGAGGAATTAACTTATCCGAAATCATATAGTAAGTTACTGACAAATTCAGAACCCATAGAACCCTGGTCTCCCAACTTGGAATCCAGTGCTATAAAGTATATTTTAAAGGTATACCAACTTTCATGTGACAGTGGTTGTCTCTGAGTGGTGAAATTTTTGAGGACTTTTGCTTACTTCTTTATACCCTTATTTTTAAATTTTCTACAAAGTAAAAAAAAAATTTAGGTTAAACTATGGCTTGTTGATGATTTTAAATCACATGGAAAATAAATATTTTTAGTATATAGCTTGCTATGTATTCTACTAATGAATCTGTTGCAGCATTTTATTAGCTACATTAATCGAAGTTAGTTGTATCAGCTGATAAGAACATGATGTTAATAAGGCCAAGACCAAAAGTATAATTTCTGAACAAGCTAGTTAACAGCTTCGCAGGGAAAAACTAGTCCAAGTCATGAATTCTTAATTCTGAATAGTTTTCCAAAAAATATCACAAGCATTACAAGAGGGAAATCAATACAGCCTGTCCCTTGTTTGGGAAAATAACCCAAAACAAGGTCTAGGATAAATGTGGTTCACTCATGACCAGGGGAAGATACAGGTTTTATGGGATCGGAAACATACGTAATTTGGGGAGCCCTCTTTAAGTAAAATTAGTTACAAAATCAGTTATGAAAGTAATGAGAAATGAAATCACAACTAACTACAAATGCTTAAAAGCTAACAAATACAACAAACACCACAATATCCAGGAGAAAAAATATTTTTAGTATAATTATTAACTGCCTGATAACCTTTGTAAGAATTTTTTTCCTATATTGATCACCTCTTCATATGATAATAATTTTGTAATTTCATTTTCAGTAGAAAGAATAGAAACAAAATTTTGTCTTTCCTCTAGCATGGTTGATGGAATTTTTTTTATTATTCATAGTTTAGAAAAGTTTCTTTCAGCTTCACAATTCCTTATTGGTAACAGCACATCTGAAACTTACTCCAAAGTTTTTGCTCACAAGTTCTCCTAACCTGGGGAGGAGCCATGGGAGAACTACAGTGCTTTGATCTCGCTGGGTGTGCCACCATACACAGATGCTGCCTCAGCAGCCAATCCATCTTGGGCAGGTTCTGGACACCCCACCAGGCCATAAGGTCTAGGTTGTAGTGGCTCCTGACCAAGGCAAGATCTTTCTGCTTGGAGGAAAGATAGGGTCCAGATGTTTAATTAGATCCACAGGAGCAGGCTGTTGCTAGGAGCCACCACCCATCAGCCTTGCATGCGGGCCCAGAATATAGTGGGTGACCCAGGGGTGGACAGCACTTCACAAGACCTGCCCCCTGTTCAAGCTGTTGTTTTCTTCTTTGGCCCTTGCCAGAGAACATGGCTTTAAAGGAGACAATGCAAATGACCGGCCCTGATGCAACATTAAGTTTATGGTAAATTCTGTGCTAACTGAAAACTCCTAGAATGTACAGAAGCACATTTGACTGGGCTATATTCAATCCCTCATATCTCAGAGCAGTAGGAAAACAAATAATATCTCCTTAATTTGCAGCACAATATCATGAGGAGTCAATCAAAAATTGATCATAGATATATTTTAGGAACAAAACTTTTTAATTTATATTGTAGTCTTTATGATACATATTGTTATAACATTCTAAAGAGAATAAAATATCTAAAAATGGGCAAGACACAGCAAACTACTGAAATCTAATCAATTATGGGAGGAGTGCACCCATAAAGGCCTTGGAGAGAAACTGGAAAAATGCTCTTCCCTAAAAAAGCTAAAATCATCTAAAAGGGAAGATGTTTAAGAGAAAAACACACCAATGCAAAAGAAAAGAAAACATGATAATTATAAAGAAAAGAAACTAAAATCTTTTTCCCCCTTATCAAACACCTGTGGAAACATGGGAACCTCTGGTTTCAGAGTATTTACACTAAGGATGTCCAGAAATCACTATGGAGTTTAAAGATCTCAATAAGTTAGAAATACAACATTCAACTGTGACCCAGAAGAACTATACCAACAAGGATGGGAGTATCAAGACAGCACTCCAGAGGCAAATAAGGGTCTAAAAGACAAGATTCTTCATATCTTTGGCCATCCTGAGAAGGGTGAAGAAGACCTAAAATTTAGTGATATGGATATGAGAGATCTGCCAGCTTCTTCTGAGTCATGGACTTACAAGTATTTATTATTTAATATTATTTAACTTTTATACAATAGAACTGAATAACAAGAATGGTTGAAAGACATGATGTGTGGGAAGAAAACAATTCTGGGTAAATAAGTGCAATAGGCATTCTAAGTATCCCACAAACAAGAATGTCAGATAAAATTTGTGTTTGTAAAATCCTTTATCAAGGGTTTTCATGGTAGTGATAGACAAGGCAGCACAAAGGTTACATAAATACATCAAAAGAATTATATGTTTTATTTATCACACATGTTTAGAGCTGAAGGGAGTTTAGATATCATCTAGTTCAACTTTTTTTATTTGCAGATAAAAACAAGACTCAAAAAAGGTAAAATGGATTGATTTTTCTGTTTAAAAATGCCTTAATAGTTATCTCTGGATCAGTACAACTATGAATAACTTTTTTCTTTATACTTGTTTTTCTAGCATGATTATTTTTATAATGATCCAGTTAGTTATTTTAGAAAAAATCATATCCCTATATTCCCTTAAAAACAATGTATGGGTCTACCTGAACCTGTATGCCAGGCTGTGTTCAATCCCCAGCTTCTGAAGTCCCCATCCCCCCTCAACTGAGATTTCTTAACAACCACGTGCAATCTCAATTTCTCCCCAGATTCTAAGACCAATTGTAGGAGATTTAGCATAAAATCTGAAAAATGTAATATCAGTTCACCCTTGCTAATTGTCCAATATCCTAATTCTGGATATCTTGATAACTTGTCTAATAGCACAATACCTATAACAATGAGAGCTTTCACTGCTTTGAAAATTCTATGTCTCAAGAAAGCCTAGACTAGGGTCGTCAGATAAAATATGGGATTGCTCAGTTACATTTAAATTTAAACAACAGATAATTTTTAGTATAAGTATGTCCTAAATATTGCACGGGAAATACTTACACAAAAGAAATTATTTGTTAATTAACTAAAATTCAAATTTAACTGGGAATCTTGTATTTTTATTTGCTAAATCTGGCAACCCTACCCTAGACCCTAACCCTAAGCACAGAACCAGTCAAAGGACCTTCAGACTACCAACTACCTGCTTGGTTTTTCAAATGTTTTCTGCTCTTGAATTTTCTGTTGTATTCCAACTATCTGACAGAGATCTATTATTTCCAGTTGGAATATCCAATGTGGCTGCCTGTCCAGGTGATAATCTGTTACCTAATTCTCTGTATAATGCCTGTCAGAATGGATTTTCTCCTAGTACCTGCAGCTAGAACTCTGTCTCCAAGGACCATCCCAAACCACTGAAGAGGCCTAGTTTCAATCCCTGATCCTGAAGAAACTGGCTTCTTGTTGTTGTTCTTAGGTGCCATCAAGTCGGTTCCGACTCATAGTGACCCTATGCACAGCAGAACGAAAAACTGTCTGGGCCTGTGCCATCCTCAAAATAACTGTTACGCTTAAGCCCATTGTTGTAGTCACTGTGTCAATCCATCTCACTGAGGGTCTTCCTCTTTTTTGCTGACCCTCTGCTTTACCAAGCATGATATCCTTCTCCAGGGATTGATCCCTCCTGATAACATGTCCAAAGTATGTGAGACATAGTCTCACCATCCTTACTTCTAAGGAGCATTCTGGTCATACTTGTTCGTTCTTTTGGCAGTCCATGGTATATTCAATATTCTTCTCCAACACCGAAACTCAAAGGCATCAATCCTTCTGTCTTCCTCATTCATTGCCCAGTTTTCACATGCACATGAAGCGATTAAAAACACCATGGTTTAGGTCAGGCACACCTTAGTCTTCATGGTGACATCATTGCTTTTCAACACTTTAAAGAGGTCTTTTGCAACAGATTTGCCCAATGCAATGCACCTTTTGATTTCTTGACTGCTGCTTCTATGGGTATTGATTGTGGAT